CGTTCGAGGCATCCGTCAACCACCTCGATAGCTTGTGGCGCCAGTAGTAGCCGTCGTTGGAACTGTGGCAATCGGGAAGCTTCCCATTGCCTGTCTCGACATCAGCCAAACGGTTCGACTCGGTGTGTGTCCTGGATAGCGATATCTTGTCCGACTCGGGTATTACGCTTCAACTGCCCGAACACGTGTTGGATACTGTTCGTCTGATTTGAACCGGCTACGGGATCGGAGCACGGTCCGGAAGGTCCACGACAGGAATCGGACCCTTCTCCGTGCCACTGCATGTTTGTGTGGCCTGCCTGTTGACATCCGCCGTGGGAAACCCCGTAAGTCATCGCCCCTTTTGGATCCACCGAATCAAGGTCAGAACTTCTTTTTTTTATGAGCTCGAAGATCTCTGTACATAGTTGTGACGTCACCCTAGCTTTAAGAGAAGATTGAAATCCTATATAATATAGTGCACTTTAAAGTCGTTGAACTTTCTCTAAAGCTTAGTAGCTCATTTTTCGATTTGGAGAGTTGATGCCTTTACTTTGGGTGACAGGGTTTAATAGACTAGTTTTTCTTTTATTTGCTGAATAGTTTTCATTTCGTTATCTTTAAATTTCATTTGGTTTTAGTAGTATTGAAGCAAATTCAATCGGCCATCGTAAACGTCAATTGGGATCGGTGTTTGAGCATTATTGACCCGCCCTGAAGAAAGCCTCCAGCCGGGCCTATTGATCAGCGTCAGCACTCTCTCGATTCGGAGAGTGGCGCTTAAGCTGCTGTTTGCAAAGAGCTTAATTATTTGTTACAACTTGTAAAAACAGGAGTCGATAAACATTCGTAATAGCGTTCGTACACAGCAAAAAAAGTTGTTGAATATTGCATCGAAACTGCTGCAACCAGGTCAATCCATCGGTTGTGTAATATCACATTGTACAATGTACATCGATTTTGCGAACAAAATTACATCCATTGATGTAATATTGTATCTGCGTTTTGCTATTACATCATTATTTCATACATCAGCTTGAATTACGTTGATCGATTTTACATTTTTTTGCTGTGTATGAGAAAATGGAAGAGCTACCAGTCTTCTTGATTTGTTGTCTTCAATTTAATGTTTCATCGGTTGAATGGAAGCTGTTGATGAAAAGTGCATCTTTTGCTCCCGTACTTGGATCTAAAATTTAACGAGTAGGAAAGAATTACCATAGAGGTAACTCTAAGACAAGTAGGTCCCAAAGAAACGTGCTCAACTTTTTGGCTCACCTCTGGTACTATCTTCGGTCCCAAGCTTGTCGAATCACCCCTCGAAACATAGGAAAAACCAATAACCCCTCATTTTATCTGTCAAACTTTCATAGCTAATCAAAACAAACATTGCGTAGTACTAGAATTTCGACTAGAATGGGGTACGTTAATCATTTGCTTGGGACCAATAGGCTACTAAAGTGGTGAGCCAATTTAAAATCGTTAGTTTCGTATTGATTGTATGAAATATTGTAGCGAAAATGAGTGTAGTTCGTAAAAACACACTTGTTGTTGACTTCAGTTATTCAGTGTCCTTCCAGTTCGTCCCAATGCGGGAAAAGTGCAAAAATTCTTCGAGAACAATATAAGGCTTCAATATTCGGACGTTAGATGCATTCAGTTTCATAACGTCCGAAATTGTGTTTTTATTGAGATGATAGACAATGAAGTGGGCTTGCGCTATGAAAAGGCGCACAACTATAAACACGCGATTCTCTGTCCGAAGAGTGAGTTCAAAATCCCGATATATGTGGATTGTGAAGCAGTGACCGTTCGAGTGCATGACCTTCCTCTGGCATGGCCACAAGCCACTATTATGAACCACATGTCAAAGTACGGGACAGTGATTTCCAGTCGACATGAGAAATGGAAGCACTACTTCCCAGGATTCCTGAGCGGTGTTCGAGTTTTGCGAATGCGACTCGAAAGCACCATTCCATCGTACATCACAACGTACGATAAGCAACCAAAAACGAGCCGCCATTGTGGCCGAGCAGCACATCCCAAACAGAAATGTTTGGATGTAGCCACATCGAACAATAGCACCGCTCCAGCAGCTCCACCAACCGAGGGGGTATTCAGTCTCGCTGATTTCCCGTCGATTGATATCGAACAAAAGCAGCCAACGACATCGGGTCAATCATCTTCTGCTTTCACCGGGTTCTCAGCAGAAGAACAACAGCGTAACACCAAGGATCATCACACTTCAAACGTTGAAAGCAACGACGAAAATTCTAGCACCAGCTCCTCAAACGCAACAAAGGATCAAATTGAAAATACCAACAAACGCCGGCTGTCGAAACACAAGGAGAACGAAAAAAAGAAAGTTCGTGCTGATCAGTGCACCCAGAAGACTGGTCAGCAAACAGATTGTGTAGATGATAATAATGCAACTTATCAAATAGGGAATAATACGTTTTATTTGAAAAATGAAAGCGGGAAGGGTTCTAATTGTTAATAATGCTCATCGGCCCAAGCAATGCCTAATAGGCGAGGGGGTCTTATAAATAAACGCAAAAAAAAAAAAGTCCAAAAGTTTGTTGTGGGGTAATTTGAGATTACTTTCATGTGGCCGCTCCCCGGGATGGAAACTTTGCAGCACAAACCCATTCCCTTCAATCCGCTGGCACCGAGTCCCCAACATAATCCAGCATATCCAGCAGACTGACTTGAACGTCGATTTCGGGATGGGAATCTTTCCTTTATTTAACGTCGGTCTCTGTTCCGCAATCTAGTGCCAATCACCGACGGACATCGATTGCCATCCATTTTTTTTTTATCTAGTTCGTTTATTTGTAAGGCTCAATCGCGTTAGCTTTACGGAGCCGATAATTCATTGTTTTTTTTTAACAAAATTCACTTAATTCTATGTCTAGTAGGAGTTGGGCCGATTACTCGCGGCTTACTCGAGGTTTGAGGGGTACATTGTCGAAGGATAGGAAAAGGGGAGGAGCTTGGGTAGGGTTTCGTTGTCTCATAAGAATTGCCATCCATTGACGGCAATTGAATGTGTAGGAAGACAGCTTCCACACCTGCGTAGGATATCGCACCCATTCAAACACACATGGGCCGGGACCAACGGCTTTACTTCCCTTCCGAAGGAAGACGTGACCAGAGATTTTTATGCCTCAGAAAAATCCCACTGACCTCGGCTGGGATTGAACCCAGACCCATTGGAGTGAGAATGCAGTCACGCTTACCACAACACCACCGGCGCCGGCGGAATGGGAATCTGCAATCATACAAATATATCCTAAATAATATCTGTGCATCAAAGAACGCATTTTCATTATCTTTCAATGACATTGCAATGAAAAATTACATAACATTACATTATTTGACAAATTTCCTACTTGTATCATTCATAATCATTTTCAACTTTTGTTTCAATAATTTATCTCTGGAATTTGAACCGGCTGTCATAAATGTATCACCATCGACTAGTACTATTTCCCACCACTAGTGACGCATAAATTTCAGTTGGATTCTACCACAAACGAAGTGACAGACGGAGCGGCTCGAAAACTTTGGTGACTAACCTGCTATTGCAATTTTTCAGTGTACCACATGGCAACACCACTACCAGTGGATTGTACCACATGGCAACACTACTACCATAGAGGTAACTCTAAGACAAGAAGGTCCCGAAATAACGTGCTCAACTTTTTGGCTCAGCTCTAGTACTCTCTTCGGTCCCAAGTTAATCGATTCACCCCTCGAAACATAGGAAAATCCACTAACCCCTCATTTTATCTGTCAAACTTTCATAGCGAATCAAAACAAACATTGTGTAGTACTATAATTTCGACTAGAATGGGATACGTTAATCCTTTGCTTGGGACCAATAGGCTAGTCAAGTAGTGAGCCAATTTAAAATCGTTAGTTTCGTATTGATTGTTGCTACTACTGGATTGAACTAGCATTTTCACCAAATGTACTAGAATGTTTTGGTTCTATCTCTTTCACTCTACTCAAAACTGGAATGCATAAAAAAATGACAAAATGATATACACTCTTTGCACACTGTCAAAGAATCATTGTACACAAAATCAACTTCGTGCAAAACCAAAACAAAAATACTATCCCATCTGGTGGATGATGGCACAAGCTTCTAAGAAAATTCTATTACAGCGAACCACATTATTTTAATTGATTTCTTCGCCAGTAAGTCGTCTGTCACTTCGTTTGTGATTCTACTATGTAATGCCATAGAGGTAACTCTAAGACTTGAAGGTCCCGAAATAACGTGCTCAACTTTTTGGCTCAGCTCTGATACTCTCTTCGGTCCCAAGCTAATCGATTCACCCCTCGAAACATAGGAAAATCCACTAACCCCTCATTTTATCTGTCAAACTTTCATAGCGAATCAAAACAAACATAGTGTAGTAGTAGAATTTCGACTAGAATGGGGTACCTTAATCGTTTGCTTGGGACCAATAGGCAAGTCAAGTAGTGAGCCAATTTAAAATCGTTAGTTTCGTATTGATTGTTGGTATAATGCTGCCAATTTACTCATTCATATTCGATTGTCGGTTCAACAGCGACAACCTGCAACGAAAAACCTGTCGGAACATTATTGGAAACGATAAAAATATATCGTTTTGCTACCTGTCGGGAGATAAAGAATGACAGTAACCTCTTTGTGTAGGGAGAGAGTTGGAATGAGAAGACCAGTGCGTGAATGGGTAGGTGTGAGTGGGAGAGCCATACAAAGTTGATATCCTGACTGAGCAGCCATCATAACGTTGCTCCCTCGATTGCCTATGCGTGCTTGTCTTTTCTTCAATCGATTCCGAAGAGTTTGTCCGTGCGGTTTGTTCCGTATTTTTCGCTTGCCAGAAGGAGGCAAAAGTCCTTATAAATCGGTGTGTATTTGATCAAATTGGGCTGAAAATGGCAATTAAATAGCACTAAGCCAGCAAAGGACTTCCAAAGATTCATTAAGCTCTACGCAGTTAACTAAATAGTGGAAATTTGTGCAGAATTTTGTCGTATCCATCGGGGGAAACAAGAAATTCTTCTTGTGCCTTTTCCGCAGTTTGCTCCGACGACGATGGCTTTACACGCACACAAACAATGGTACCCGTACCGAGTGAGTGGCAAACACAGCAGGCAATCAAAAGCCCGTGGATGGAAAAAGAAGCTATAGAAACAGAAACTGGTGGTCACGAACGAATAGCAGAAATTGTGTGTACATATTGCGGGAGAGCCGAGCCAAGAGTAGCAGCAAGTGTTGGTGTGACTCATCCATCCCACTTCCACTATCCGCACCATATTGCTTTGGCTTCACCTTTCGCATCTAGCTCGCGATGCGATCTGAGTTTGTGTGGCGATTCAATGTGTGAATGCTGTCTGATGAGTGGGCCGTGAAAACTGGTTTTTCTTGTCTGTGCCCCTTTTTTTTTTTTTTGACAAGTTGAGATCAGTGCTCGGAACAAAGTTGTTTATTTTGGTTTAGCTTCAAGCTAATCGATGTGCACCTACTGCCTATACTTTCTGTGAATGGTACATTGTTTAGGTGATAATGATAAAAATGAAAGATTGTTTTCATTGCAGATTCGTACAGAGTAACCTGATGCGTGTGATTGTGTTTGTTAATCGTTTATTTGAATCTGGATATGGACATTTTGCGTGAAAGCAATGATAAATACTGCTCAGAGCGCAGTAACAGAAAAGAGTTGCCAGCAGACAGGCAACTCAATTCCTATGAGGCTATATACAATGCAGTGTTGAGCAGGCAGAGACATTCTTTGATGGATTTTAAAGTTGTGTCGCATTAGTGATATGTTGCTTTCAGCAGAACCGAAAGCGTAATGCCATGTTCGGACGATTTAGTTTCAAATAACAAGCAATTTCGTTTGCCTTTTCTCAAGTTTTTAAGCTAATTGGGTAAAAGACAGATAGTAGCATAAAGCGAATGCAGAGCCATAACATATTTAACACTACTATAATTAACAAGTTGTCGAGTGATCAAAAAAAAACTTTATAATCGAATTGAAGAGCTGTTAGATTATTTATTTCATGGGATGAATTACCATTCTTCTTCTACGAAATTTATGAAAACAGCCATAATAAGATCGTTTGAAATATAATCATTGCTAGAAAGTACAGAAACAAACAGAAGGATCATTACTGTGCAGATCCCGTTACAACACCGTAGACATACTCTGACCTGAAAAAGTACCATACACCGCACTGAATGACTGGTGACGATTAACCGATTAAATTATGATGTCTGTGGTTGAAAAGGCTTCTTCCATTAGCCGCTATATGTTGAATAACACGATGTTGATAAAAGCTAAAAATCCACCACAGGCATAAAGATTAACAGCACAGGAATCACCTATTTATAAAACGGTAGACATTCGATTGTCGGAATGGTAATTGAAATTTATTAGCAAGATTGCTTGCAAATGTAAATTGAACTATGTAGTGCAGTTGCATTATTCGACACTATGTATTGGAAACAAACCGGGCCATAGGAATTTCGATGGAGACAATTTCTGCGAAGGTTTCGGCGCGTTTTGCGTTTAATGGATTGTATTATGATAGAATATTGCCCTTCAAGAATCTAGAATCGCTCCTTCCAGTTTTGGCAACGCTGCTACTCTCGGTGCGGAAATTAATCCTCTGAAGAGCGTTTATCATCGGAAGGGAGCTCTCTTTCACTTTTGTGGAGCAAAAATCCAGCTGAACTGGTTGTATTCACTGGATGTTATCTCGCTTCAGAAGTGGTTACATCAACACTTGCATAGTGCTTTGCTCGCCGATTCCGTGCAGTCCTCAACTGCCATCGTCGTCGTTGAACACGTTGCTGCTCTGTGGTGGTGACCTGAACTCTTCTCTTGCCTGGTCGACTCTTCTTGGGTTCCAATCAAACGCTGCCAGTGAGCATGCAAGAGACGATGCTCCGATACTGTGTGTTTTCCACGTCTGTGTGCGCTTGTGGAGGATCCGATGAAATGTGGAAATGCCATAGCCCGTAACTGTCCGACAGGAATAGCTGTCCGCTAGACTGTATGCTGTGTGCAGCGACGAAGTGTGTAAAGTGCCGTGTCCAAACGCGCCGTGGAGCAGTGAAAATCCATCAATAGGCGGAGAAAAATAAAACTTTAGAGAGTGTCATTTCTTGTGTTCGCTTTTTTTTTTCATGTTTTCCCCTCCGTTCGAAAAAGTCCGATGAGCAAAATTGAATTTCTTGCACAAAGTTATCTACCCGAGCTCAATTAATTAAAAGTGTGAAAAGTGTCGATCAACGGGGACGAAAATTGATGCTGGACCTCGAGGCCATACGACGAAACTTTTCAACAACCGGGTTGTTTGGGGAAGAAAAGGAAAAACAACTTCTACAGAGAGGTGCTCTCTATGTTTAAATGGTGTGCTTTTATGTGCTAAGAGAAAAAGTTGAATCTCAGTGTTATTCTTTCTACTTTTCCAGGATTATTTCTAACGTAAGAAATATTCTTTCTTCGACTCATTTTACTTTCAACCGTGGTGATAGTGTAGTTCTTTTGTACGAGGATTAAGCGGCTTTTTCTCGACAGTGAAGTGAAAAAAGGCTCGAAACCTCAAAGTAGTGAAACGGTATCCATACTCCCTAGCTTTTGTGGCTAGATAGATATACATACCAAGAAGATAGCGATTTGCAGTGAAGTGAAGTGAAAATGGTGCCGATAAAAGGGATTTATCTAGCACTCCTTGTGCTAGTCGCTACCAGCAGTTTCCACAGTAACCAGGTGAAAGGAGACAAGTACGAGGATGAGGATGACTACTACGATTCAAGAGGTGAGTAAGAGGTTGCGAATGTAATTTGCACACTGTAAACCACAAACTCATGTGGGCGAGATCTGGGACGGAGGTTGTTGTTTGTGTATTTTCGTTCTGTTGGCTCTGGCTTCATTAGGAAGAGAAAAATATACTCATTCTTTTCACGCAAGTGGATAAGGTAGATTTTGCTATACATTTCAGACCCGGGATGAGTTTGCAAAATGAGTTAGATTGATTGGAGAATACTTTGTCTCAGATTTACTCCGATAACTTCTAAGCCGCAAACAATTTGTTTTGCAGAGGAAAAACTCTATAAGAATTGTAAACGAAGGAAAAAAATGCACGTAAGCTATAACTTTTTAACCATGACTCCTTATAACTTGGAATTTTCAGATAAGATTCTTAAGATAATTCATATTCATTCAATTCATATTATTTCAACATTCATATCAGGCGTTCTTATTAACTTCGTTCGGTAGCTTTTGAACTAAACTAGACTTGTTAACACTAAAACAATCGATTTATGTTATGTTTCTGCTCGATAGACCCAACATGGGCGATTTGGCTGAAGTAGTGCTTTGCTTTGAATCTTGATTTAAAAATCTAGATGAAAGTCTATGTTTTTGAAAATGAATCGTTGTGCTCAGAAAACGAACCTCTTTCAGATGATACATAAAAACCGATACATTTTTCAAAACTAAGGAAACCAATTTGCTTGAATCAGCATGACCGTGACCATTGCTATTGAGTTCAGTTCTTCTTAATGATTAGTATATTTGAAGTAAAATTAAAGGTTATAAGAAATTATAAATTTTAAACACATTATCCTCTTGGGTGACACTGAGCGGCCCGCCTCCACCTCCACCAGTCAATTCACTGCTCGGTTAGGTACCGTATCAACCGAAAGATAGATCACGCGCAATCGAGAGATAACAAACGAAAATGTTAATATATTAAAGGGATGTTTTTAAACTGGAACAAACTCTTTTTCTTTCGTTAACAACTTGAGCACATAACCGTTTCTTGTTGTGTTTGTCGTATTAGATACTAGATAAAAGCTTCTTTTATCGATCTGTGTGCTGAAAATAAAGACTGGACTCGGAAAAAATGAGACACACAAAAATGATCACCAAAAATTCATTTTAAATCGAATACTTCTCAAATTTTCAGGGATTAAATAACTATATATTAGCTATGTTTTGGCATAATTTATTTATTGAATTTTCTCCCCCAAGCTGAATGCTCGTACATTTCTCTTAACACTGCTTATGAGATCTTGGACGAAGCTTCTTCCATCTTCCTTACACAATTTCTCCCAGTTTTTCTTCAAAGTCGGTTTTGAATGTTTTTCCGCTTTTCTTCAACTTCTTCTTCATTATCGCCCAAAACTTTTCGATCGGACGAAGTTCTGGTGTATTTGGCGGGTTCGACTCCTTCGAGACCACATTAACGCCCTTCGCTTCGTGCCAATCCATTACAGGCTTGACGTAATGGCTTAAGCGAGATCCGGCCAGAACAGCGTGGGACCACGGTGAGAGCGGAGGAAGGGCAGCAAGCGCTTCTGCAAGCATTCCTCTCGATAAATCTGCCCGTTTATGGTGCCGGTTGTAACGAACGGCTTGCTGTACCGTCCGCACTCGCAGATCGCCTGCCACAACAGGTACTTCTTCGCGAATTTGTCCATCTTTCTCTTCCTGAACTTTTCCGGAACAACCATGCCGGACGTACCGACAAAAAACTCGAGGCCGGGGATTAGTTTGGTGTCCGCCTTGATGCATGTCTCGTCGTCCATGACGAGACAGCCTGGCTTGACCAGCCACTCACGGTACAGCTTCCGCGCACGCAATTTGGCCACCGTGTTTTGCTTGTCAGTCCGGTTTAGCGCCTTCCTGACCTTAAAAACACGTAGCCCAGTCCGCTTCATGGTCTGCTGGACGAACCACTTCGACGAATTGACCTTTTTTGGCCACGTCTCGGGTGGAAAGGTTCGGGTTATTCTTAAAGTACTGCCTTATCTTCCGCGCCTTCTCTGGGTATTCCGTTTTCGGTTTTCGGCCGCATTCAGCGCGCCGCTCGATGGTCTTCGTCTCCTGGAACATCTTTACAACGCGGGACACGGTGGAATGGTGGATTCCAAGCCTTTTGCCGATCCATCTGTGTGACTGACCAGGATTATCGATCACCGCGCCCAAGATTTGCTGGCGTAGCTCTTCTTGTTTCGAATGCATGTTGAAAACTACTTGACAGAAAGAGATAAAAATTTGCACACATATACATAACACCCTAAACTAGTATTACCCAAAATTTCATTAATTTTTACCCATGCGATAAAAAGTTACACCCAAAACAAAGAGTCGCATTTTTTCCGAGTCCAGTCTTTATCTGGGAATGTCTTTACATGGCCGTGAGGTTACAAAGACAAAGACGACGAAGAGAATCTGTCAATGTTACTTAGGACCTAATGCAATTTTCAGCTTGAAATTACCTCTAAGGATCGAAAATCGGTCATTAAATCGTAGAAATATGAGCAAAAAACATTTACATGTTTTAAAAGGGTGACGCCAAAGAGAGTGTACAGCAAAGCCCTCAAGTAAAGGTATGGACGGCTGTCACAAGAAAACTGAAAAATTATTTTCCAATCAAACTGAGCAGTGCATTTTGACAGTTCGATTAGAACTAATTTTGACAGACGTCCACACTCAAAAATAAATTAAATTAAAAAAGCTTAAAAGTATGCAATTTCCCGCTTCACCTTATTGAGTCCAAGCCATGATTAATTTGGCAGTAATCATGCATGATTTAATTCGAAATAATCACTTGTGATAAATGTCTTTTCAGTTTTAAATTTTATTATTTTAGAATATTAATATATCAGGCGTAACATTTGATAACGGCACAAAATCATTTGTAAACAAACTTTCTAAGGCCCTTTACACCACTCCGGTGGCAGAAACGTCATCCACGAACATTTTGCTTGAAGCCAAAGTTGTTGGTTCTTTGGCTCGATTATCTGCCAATCTAAGACAGCTGATGCAAACATTGAGAAATTATGCTCCGTGCACATAGATGATTGATTTATTGCGCGGCAAAATAATCGTGATAAATGTTCAACAAGCGCGTACTAGTAGGAATTAAATATTTATTACATTAATTTATAAATTAAGCAAGCTAATTATGAACAATTGGCCAATGGTGGTGGCTTCAGCAACCCTCCTTCTTGGCAGAGGATTGCTTTACACGCTAACCAAAGTACGCCCATGCAAACCAATACCACTTTCGGAAAGGTGAGAGTTGCCCCTATCCGATGATTTTGTTGGTTTGCCTGAGCGTCCTTCGGTTTGCGTGTGAAGAGCCTTAAAAAGTTTATTTACAAAAGCTTTTAAGCCGTTATCAAAGGTTACGCCTGATATAATCAAAATTGATTGAAATTCAATCATTAAGATTAATATTAAATCAAAAATGATTAAAATAGAATCAATAATGATTAAAATTTATTCAAACAATATAACTTTAAATTTAATCAACCATGATTAAACTGGGTTTAATATCAGATGCTATTTTTTTTAGCAAGAGATAATAAATTTTTAATCATTCGATATGATTGAGCTGAGTTGAATGTCAAATTGATTAAATTTTAAGCAAAATGGGAATAGTTTAACTTATCAGTGCCATACTTTTACTGAATGGCTTTAGTATATAGGGGTGCAGATCAAAATAATGAGTAACGAAATCTAGATGAACATTTCGAAAGTTCTGCATTGATTGATTCTTTTGATCGACTTTATGTTTCCTTAATAACTCAATTACAAAAACATTCCCTTATGTGTTTGATGTTTCGGATGCTAGATAAGAACTTCCTTTATTAAACTATGTGACATAATTAGCATGATATCTGTTTGCAAAACCGTGGTTATCAAAAGAGAAAGTCGATGAGAGAATCTTGACGATGTTATCTCCAACGGATTATTTAATATGGATAGCTGTCATAACGACTTTTGACGGAGAACTACGTCTTTGTCGACTATACTGGGGTGCAAATCAAAAAATATGTGTGGTGAAGGAGTGTTAGGTTTTTAACGCTTGTAACTTTGTCATTTATAGATGAAATTTAAATCCAAATACGCCAATCGACAGGATATTACATTACGAACCTAATGAAATAAATATTTTTTTTCCAATTTTTATGTAATTAAACTTTTGAAAATGTACAAATGATAATTTTATCACTGTTTTCATGAAATAAGCCTTTTTCCCAAACCCAGTCATAATAAACGAATACCACTTGGTTGCACATCATTCTGCTTGAACCTGAAAAGATATAAATCAGCGCTGCTCTCCTGCCTCTGCTCATTACCGCTTCGGACGGCGTGGTACTAGGTCCTGCAGCAAGCAGGACCAAGTCAGCTGCCAAAGGTGGATAACGGCGTGTCCACCACAATGAGAAATGAGACTTGAAAAAACGTGCATATAAAATCCCCTCCCCCTAAACAACCTCTCCCCCTCCCCCTTAAAATAACCCGAAAAAGACATGGACTTTGACGATCATTTTTTTCCGGGAAATAAATTTTAAGCAAACCACAATTATGTATAAGCAATTAATTTTTTACATGCAGAGAAAACATTTTCAAACAAAATTGCTTAACAGGAGACATACACTCGATTAATTACCAACAACTGACGTTAAAACATATCTGGTACTCCTATATATGCAATTATATTAACATCCAAAGTCCTTCCTATTTTACATATTCTGCACAAAAGAAACTTTCTGCTCCGCCCCATTCATAAAAAACTGCGGGAAATCCTGTCAGGTGCGGTTGCACATCGTTCTGCTTGAACCTGAAAAGATATAAAAGAGCGCTGCTGTCGTGCTTTTGCTCATTGTCGCCTCGGACGGTGTGGCACTTTGGTCCTGCAGCAAGCAGGACCAAGTCAGTGGCTAAAGGTGGATCACGGCGTGACCACAATGAAGAATGCGACACAATGAGGAATAAGGAAAAGCAATGTATGTAAACCCC